CTTATTCTAGTGGCTAACTAATGTTTTTGTTTGCTTGTTTTCCATAAGTGAATGTGGTTTACTTTTACTTAAAGCTTTTTCACTTTGCCTTATAATTTGATCATTTTTAAAACACTTTTGGAGCTTTTATTATGCAGTGTACATGAATCTATAATTATCTTTCCTGGAGGGTTCATCTTTTCACCAACTTTTTGTCTTCTTTATGTCTAAAGATGACCGTTATCTTATGTGTGTTTTGTATGATGGTAGTATAACCAGCTTTCTTTTGGTTACAATTGGGCTTTAGCTTTTTTTCCCTGTGCAGTCTTGTGTCTTCATGTTTTAGGTCTGTCTCTTGAACGTTGCTGGATTTTGTGACCTTTAAAAGAAATCCAGTCTGATAATCTTTCTTTTTACTGCTGATTACCAATGTTTGGATCAAAAAAAAATTTTTTGAAGTTTATTTATTTACTTTGAGAGAGAGAACAAGCAGAGGAAGAGCAGAGAGAGGGAAAGAGAGAATCCCAAGCAGGCTCTGCACCGTCAGCATGGAGCCCAAAGTGGGGGGTGAACTCATGAACTGTGAGATCATGACCTGAGCCAAAACCAAGAAACAAACACTTAACCAACTGAGTCACCCAGGTGCCCCACCAGCGTTTGGATTTTTGTGTGCTGTCTTAATTTATCCTATTTGCCCTTCTCTTTCCATGTTTTTTTCCCCTAGGTCAATCTAGTTTTCTTTATTTCCTATTTTTCCTCATTGGCTTGGAAAACGTACATTCTATTCTATTCTTTTAATAGCATCTCTTAAAATTTTGGTTCATGTAGCCTTAACCAAGTCTACAGTTATCACTTCTTTATGCCCATCACCCACTCCTCATCTTAGGTACTATTGCTGTCTGGTATTTTGGTTCTATCTTATTTTTTTAACTCTCTAATTAATCATTGTGATTGTTACTGTTTTATGCAATCACTGCCTGCTCCTTTTCGCCTCTATATTTACCAATTTCTTGGTTTGCCTTTTCTTCTGGCATTTTCTTTCTGGGTTTAATTTCCTTTGTCCTCCTTTAAAAATATTTTTTTAATGTTTATTTATTTGAGACAGAGAATGAGTGGGGGAAGGGCAGAGAGAGAGAGAGGGAGACACAGAATCCCAAGCAGGCTTCCGGCTCTGAGCTGTCAGCACAGAGCCAGACCCGAGACTCGAACCTACAAACTCCAAGATCATGACCTGAGCCAAAGTTGGACGCTTAACCAGTTGAACCACCCAAGCAACCCCCCTTCTTCCTCCTGAAGTACTTTTTTTTAGTAATGCTCTCAGAAAAAAAAAAATCTTTTTTTTCTTAAAGTTTATTTATTTATTTTTGAAGGTGAGAGGGGCTAAGAGCGAAGGAAACACAGAATCTGAAGCACTTCCAGGCTCTGTGCTGATAGCACAGAGCCTGATGAGGTCTCGAACCCCCCGACCACAAGATCATGACCTGAGCCAAAGCTGGATGAAACCAACAGAGCCATCCAGAAAGGATGCCCCTCAGAAAGGGCTCTTTATGTTAAACACACTGTCATTCTTCTAAAAAATGTCTCTACTTTCCCGGCAAAGTGCCTCTCCCATGCTCTGAACTTTGTTTCCTCTAGCCTGTCAGCGTCCACACTATTGTGCCTGAGGACCAGAGGCGTGGAGGAGCTAGTGCCCCTGGGAGCAGCCCTTGACAATTAATCACCCAGGTAGGTTTAGAAATGCCCATGCTCTCTTGACCCCAGAGTGGGATAATTCTGAGCATGAGACTCACCCTTTCTCCAGACTTTCCTCACAGGATTAAGCTCAGATGCCCACGTGGTGGCTGTTTCATAAACCTCTTTTGCTGGCTGCTCTCTCTTCACCATATCACATCCCCACTTCCCTGCGGGTGATTCCTGCTCCATCAAATGAACGACCTGCACTAGAATTCTCAGGACCTGCTTTGCGGAGACATTCAAGCTAAGACATGGCATGCAGGTGTCTACATCGAAGGACAATTGCTCAGCATTTCTCTTTGGATTTTCTCATTCTGTTTCTTATTCATTGTTCTCATCTCCCTATCTCTTTGAATAATTTCCTCAGCTCTATCTTCCAGAATTTTTTTCCCAGAAATGTCTTGTTTGTATTTGGAGTTTTCAATGAATTTACTATGTATTCTTATTTCTAAAAGTTCTTTTTCAAGTCTTCCTGTTCTCTTCTCATGATGTCTTTTTCTTTTGTGTTTTCAATTCCTGTTCTTTAGTCTATGATAACTTGAAACACTTTGGTTTTATTCATCTCTATCTGGTCTTTATTATCTGCAGTTCTTGGAGGATCTAATCCTGCTTTTGGTTGTGACTGCCTATTCTTGCTCATGGTGGATTGTTTTCTCAATTGTGTGCTTTTTTTTTTTTTAAATTATTGTCAAATTGGCTTACATACAACACCCAATGCTCATGCCAAGTGCCCTCTTCAATGCTTATCACCCACTTTCCCCTCTCCCCTACCCCCCATCAACCCTCAATTTGTTCTCTGTATTTAAGAGTCTCTTATGATTTGCCTCCCTCCCTCTCTGTTTCTCAAGTGTGAATCACATTTGTGATTTTGAAGTGATCCCTTAGAGAACTTTATCTGTAGATATCATATGTGACCTGGGAAGAAGGTTTATCTTTTTTATTTATTAAAATTAAAAAAATGTTTATTTTTGAGAGAGACAGAGCATGAACTGGAGAGGGGCAGAGAGAGAGACACAGAACCCCAAGTAGGCTCCAGGTTCTGAGCTGTCAGCACGGAGGCTGGTGTGGGGCTTGAACTCATGAATCATGAGATCAAGACCTGAGCTGAAGTTGGACACTTAACTGACTGAGTCACCTCGGCGCCCCAGAAGGTATATCTTCTTAGATAGATTTTTAAATTTGTTTCTGCCAGGAGCCCTGCGTACTGGCCTAAGACTAACTTCTATGTCAACTTCTCAGCTTGGGAGTTCCTGGACCATGTGACAATGTCAGTCTGAACCTGAAACCTGCATGAGTGTAGGGCTATGGCTACGAATTATAGAGAAAGACTTCATGTTTCCATCTCTAAAACCAATGGAGACAGACAAACTCCTTATCTTCTATGTTGATAGCTGCAACTTTTCCTGGCCCACTCTTTGGAAGGTTTCCCTTCAAACATCACTTTTATGCAGGGGTCTTGTCCAGTTGTCTGGCTGGGTCAGGCCCAGAGCCTCATTTCCTGTTTCTGCAATGCCTGGCCTCAAGTCTGGAGGGTACCTGGACTCACTAGGCTTGCACCCCTTCTTGCTTGTGGGGATCCTTGATCCTTGGAGATGTTCATTAGTTTGCTCCTAGTTTAGGTGTGAATTCAAAAAAGCATTTGTCGTATTTAACATGGCATTTATTTATTTATTTATTTATTTATTTATTTATTTATTTTGAGAGAGAGAGCATGTGCATTTGTGTGCATGGGGGAGGCGTAGAGAGAGAGGGAGAGAGGACTGCAAGCAGTCTCTGTATGGTCAGTGTGTCTTAACACGGCATTTAATGATATTTCACAGTGGACAGATTTTCAGGTTATCAAGTAAAAAAAAAAACAAGCGAGAAATGGAAATCCTTATGTACCTTTTCTACTCTATCATACTAATTCTGCCTCTACTGCCATTTTCTTCCTTGGGAACATTCATTGTCCTCTCCTGGGTGGTGAAGGGCATGGTAGAGCATGACTTATGTGTGTGGGGAGTGGGGAAGTTGGAGACATAATGGTCTCGCACAGTCTTAGGGCAAGTGGTAATGATCCGTGAGAAGCAATGATGTGGGCTTCCGTACTAAATCTGTCTTAGGCTGCCTGTCACAGTGCCTGGAACCCCACGAAGACAGAGTCACCTTCCTCCTCTGTTTTATCAGCTCCCTCTTTTAGTGGAATGAGTTTAGCAGATGATGCAGAGAAGTAGGCTCTTAGGAACAGGAAATTGTGAAGAAGGACCGGGGGTATATGTGTGCATGTGTGTTTGTGTGTGTGTAGTGCATGTGGTATGTGTGGTATGTGTGGTTTTGTGTGTGTGTTTGCTGTAGATAGTGTATGTGGTATGTGTGTGATGCGTGAGGGTGAATGTGGTGTGTGGTGTTTTATGTGTGTGTGTTGTGTGTGGTGCAGTGTGTGTGTATGTGTGATGTGTGTGCATGTGTGGTATGTATGTGTGGCATGTGTATAGTGTGTGTACGAAGTGTATATGTATGGTGTGCGTGTGATATACATATGTGTATGCATGTGTGTGGTATGTGTGTGTATGGTGTGTGGTATGTGTGTGTGGTATGGGGTGTGAGTATATGTATGTGGTGTGTGTGTGGTATATGTGCGATATGTGGGCACGTGGTGTGTGCGCATGTGTGGTGTATGTGGGGGTGTGTGTGTTGCATGTGGGTGTAGGGTGTGTGTAAGGTCAGGAAGGAGTCAGGCTCTAGCAGTGGGTGGAAGAGGTCCTTGGGGGACAATTAGACTTAAACCAGCCTCGCCATCATTTTACAAAAGCCTGGGCTTGTGCCCAGACCTCTCATCTTACCTTGTCCATGAACGCTAGCTGGGAGTCAAAGGGCCTGTTTTGTCAGGGCCGGGACTGTATGCTTTCATACCTTAGTGTGGATAGGAAGCATCATTCTCTTCTTTCTCCAAACACAATCACTAATTTGGCTCCCGTTGAGCTGTTGTTCCAAACTTCCCCTGTATCTGGCCTTGGATGCCGGATCCAGAAGCTGTGTTGATCAGGTCTGAATTCTTCCCTGGCCTGGGCCAGCCTGCCCTGGGCCAGCCAGCATTTGTGGTCATCCCGTCTATAAGGAACACCGTGTGTGGGGAGGGCTGGGGTTGCGGTGTGGGGGGCATGGGGAGGGCAAGGCAGCCTATTACAGCAGCTAATCGAGGTCTCCCACCAAACTCTTCAAAGTCTTATCGGCTTGGAGGTATTTCTAATACCATTTCCGTTCATTGTTTCCTTTTGGTAATTAACAGGAGGCCAATCCCCCGCTGCGGCAGCTCACAGCTATTGTGGTGGGAAAGGAGGGGGGGCTGGTGGACGTCACAACTCGGCCTTTATCTCCCCCTGGCCACGGGGAGTGCGCAGCCCCTGGGTCACTTAGCCAGACAGTCCAGAGCTGCGAGCGGTCCCAGTGGCCTTAGCTGCTGGGGAGCATGACCTAGGCTGGCGGCACGTCGTGTGGCACTGAGCTTCCCAAGGGATCTTGGAGATACCTGCAGCCCCCGCTTGCAGGGAAAGGTCTGGTCTTCTGGGGCAGGGCTGGCTCAGTTGGGGGAGGAAGATCAGGGCTGGTCCTTACCCCTGGGGAACTGGGATCCTCTGTCCCGGGGCTAGAAGGGCTTGTTTGGAGGGTGACTAGAGCCGGGGACCGTCCTAAGGCCCACTCTCCACTTGTCACTGGGGAGTCCTGTGGCTGCTTCTGTTCATGGCCGGCTTTTCTGCTTGTACTACTTGACGAGGCAAGACTGGAATGAGTTTTGCCCTCACCTCTGGGTGTGTTCTGAAACAGCCTGACGTGCATGTGTGTTGGGAGGTTGTAGAGGGTCACCAGTTCTGAGACCAAGATGTGGCCATATCTGACGTCGTTGGAGTGTTTCTTCTGCAGGTATATAACAGACTGGGCTTGTCTCTCTTTGGTTGGATGAGGCATTGAGTAGGAAAGGAGTCATCCCCGGGAAATCTCAGGTGATAGAGTCTACACCTATTTAACACGAGGAGAGGTCTGTGGCAGGGGCTCTAAAGGATTGGGGCATGCTCTGAAGCCAGGGTCAATCATCTTCTTCTGGAGGGGGGCACCCTATGGGGAGCCTTTCTGCGTCCGGGCTACTGGACACCTGTCCATTTATCAGCTCAGCCCCGCACACATTGCCTGAGCAGTGGTACCGTGCTGGGGACTGACCTGCAAACGTGGTTGCTGAGCATTCTCCATGTCTGGGTGCCTGTGGTAGGAACAGAGCATGGGATAGCTTCTTCTCTCCAGCTTGTGGCAAGCGAGGAAGGATGAAAAGGCAGGAGGGGATCAGGTGAGCAAGGGCTCCCAGCTGGTGCAGGAGTGCAGGGGAGTGAGAGGCCAGGCTGGCCTGGTTCCTCCCATGCCTGGGGTCTGGGACTGCTGTTTGGGGAAGGATGCCTGGGGTCTGGCTCACAGTGATGGTTCCTCTTGGCCTGGGCCTGGCCAGGGGCTTTTCTGGGGACCAGTCCTCCATAGTCAAGGGCAAACAGGGGCCATTGAGGATTAATCTTTTTTCTTGCTTTAAAAAAAAATTGTTCTTCCCACTTCACACATGGACAGTAGTACACCCCAGCCACGATCTGTGAGAGGGTAGTGATCACCGGTCATTTCTCCTGCTTCTCTGCAGATGATTCCTGCCAGGCCTGCGAGGGTGCTGCTTGCTCTGGCCTTCACCTTGCCAGGTAGGTACTAAATTGTTTCTATCTGTTACTCCTGCCTCAGGGTCATTTTGGAATAAATCCCTTCCAGGAATCAGCAGGTGTGTCTGGAGCTCACCTGTGTGCCCAGTCCTGTGTTACTCTTGGGTTGGGTCTGCCAGGGTCACTGGTTAATTCTCCTTGTGAAGGTTCTTCAGAGCTCCCTGCCTCTGACTTGTATTCCTCAAGGAGCAGCCACCTGCAAATGGTTTCTCTGATTGGACTATTAAGAAGCACAGGGGCCACGCAGAACAATCTTCTGTGATGGGGCTGCAGGATGGGGAAGAAGGAATCCAAGACTTGGACAGATGATTACTTTTAGAAGGGATTGCAGAGGTCATCTAGTCGAGTCTTCCATAGTGCAGATGAAGAGACTGAGGGTCATAGAGGAAACACGAATGCTCCAAAGTCACATAAAGCCACATAAAGCAAAGATCAGAAGTCACCTCTCCTAGGTCCACCACTCCCACTGGACTGCAATCCCTTCCTTCCCTTGCTGAGATACTGAGTCTATGAATGGTGAGAGGGACCCTTTTCTAACTCTGGCTTGTCTCCACTTAGACCCCTCAGGTCAGCAGAATCCAGCCTGCTGCTCACAGTTTAGTATGAAAAAGTGCTCACATGTTCATACCCTCTACATCTTTCTACCAGGTGGTTCCTGTGTGAGGGGACCCAGAAAACTTAAAAATTTACTATTGTGGTGCCCCACCTGACCACACACACACACACACACAGTGCATAAGTGGTAAGAGGATCTCCTGGGAGGAATTAGCTTATGGACCTAGAAGAGCTAACACGCCATAGATTCTGTGTGTTAGACACACCAGCCAATTTGTTTGAATGTAAACTGTTCAAGATATAGTAGATTAATGTATAGGGATCCTCATTATAATCTACTAAAAAATTTGGGAAAATGCTAAGAACCTAATAATAGGATTAATATTATTATAATGTATAAATGCATACATTTAGATGCAGAATATGGTATAGTCACTACAAGTTTTGCAAGTATATACAATGGCATGATAAATTCTTTACAATACATTGAGAAATAAACAGGTTATAAATAGTTTGTATGGGATGATCACAAATTTGTAGAAAATCTGTAATTATATATACATATGCTGTGAAATAGAACAGAAAGAGAAAACTAAAATGTTAACTTTACTTATCATAGACTGTTGGTTAGTGAAGATTTTACCTTGATTGAATTTTTTTTTCTGTATTCTCCAAACTTTCTCAAATAAAGCATGTATCACATTTAAAATTAGTAAGTAAATGTCATTAAAACAAATAGATATTCTGAAAAGCTGTTCCTCTGTTATTGGTGTGAGTTCCGGGTCATTTTTGAGGGCCAAAGCAACACTTTTTTTTTAAGTTTATTTATTTTTGGTTGGGGGGCATAGAGAGAGAGGAAATCCTAAGCAGGCTCCATGCTATCACTACAGAGCCTGATGTGGGGCTGGAACCCATGAACCATGAGCTCACTACCTGAGCTGAAATCAAGAGTTTGATGTTTAATTGACTAAGCCATCCAAGCGCCCCCAAAAGCAACAGCTTTAGTCTTGCTTAGGATGGAAAATACTTCCCTACAGCCCAAGTGGTATCAGGCACAAGGCTGGAGTGGCTGGGTGATCCCAGCTGTGCTCACCTGTAGTCTCTCCCTCCAGGGATCCTTTGTGCAAAAGAGATGGTTGGCAGGTCGTCGATGGCCCGGTGCAGCCTCTTTGGAGATGACTTCATCAACACCTTTGATGAAAGCATGTACAGCTTTATGGGAGACTGTAGTTACCTCCTGGCTGGGGACTGCCAGAAACGCTCCTTCTCCCTTATCGGTGAGTCCGGAACACTAAAGAGAGGGATTCAGAGCAGGCGCCAGCCAAGCTCAACCCCTACTGGGGGTATTCTTCTGGTGGGGTTCCAGCTTGCAGATCCTTGCGGAGGCATGGATGGAAATAGCCTTCCATGACCAAGAACTTCCCTTAGCCTTCACCTGGGTCTCTCCCAGGGAGGGCTGGTGGGATGGAGTGAGTCTTTTTCCAGTGGTGTGGTCATTGCTCTGGGTCCAGACAGCACTCTGGGAGCTTCAAAGCATCAAAAGAAATGATGTACCAGAAGACGCTTTGTAGCACACAGAGCCCCTGGAAAAACGGTAGGGGTCATCGCTGTGTTCTTGGTGGAATTCAGAGTATCTAGCTGATGCTGAGCACCTCCTGTGTTCCTGGAAAAGGGCTGGTATGTGCCTGTGTTGTCTCTGCACCCCACAGCAGCTCTGAGGTGCACGTACAGGCACTGAGCCCAAAGACATGGTCTGATCCTCCCAAGGGTTGACAGCTCATAAAAGGAAGAGCTGGATTTTGATCCTGGGTTTGTCAGGATGCAGGAGCTTTCCTCTGCACTAAGGAGAGAGGGTGCTCTCCAAGCTGAGAGTGAGGTTGCAGGCAGTGATGGGGGATTGTGGTTTGGTGACCTTCACACTCTGAGAATGAATCCGATGTGTGCGATGTGTGAGTGAGGATGCTGCAAAATCTAGCAAAGATGGGATCCGCAGCCTTCGGAAGAGGACACGGCAAGGGACAGACCCATATTGTTAAAGCAAAATCTTCAGGGCACTTGGTATAGACAGTGAGGAAAGCTTTATTTAAAGGGGCTACTGTAATTAATGGTGGGGGGGTTGCAGTGAGGCAGAGACATGGGGCTCCACTCCTCCACTCCAAATATAACAAGGATTAGTGGGGATTTACAGCCAGGTGGGAGTCAGCAGATGGAAAATTACGAAGGGGAAACATCAGGAATAACATTTGGCTAGGCCAGCGTGGTAGGGTTCTTGCCGAAGTCAGGCCAGGGTGATAAGTATCGAGGGAGGGGTGTGAGGAATTGGTCACAGAAAATGACCAGGCAGGATTCTTGCTAAACTGAATCAGTCAGACCAAGGATAGAGCCTAAGGTTGAGACTTGACTGAGAGGAGGGCTCAGAGGAGACCGATTCAAGGTTGGCCAAAGACAGTTTTTGTCAACACTCAGGCCCTCACTGAGATGCAGGCGGTAGCGCTCCTGGGGAGGCCACTCCCCGGTCTCCGGGGCCTCCCAGGCTGGGTGCAGCCCTCAGTGCTCAGTGTGGGAGCTACATGAGCTGACAGCTGCCTTAATTATGAGGCTCCCCTCTTCTCTGGCCGCTGCTGATGCCTTCACCATCTGCCCTGCCTCGGCTGGAACCCCCTTCGCAGTGTGCCTTCAGGGCACTGAACTTCACCAGACTGCCATTTTTCCTCCTCCTCTGTGAGCACCCCAAGGGCAAGGACCATGCCTTACTCATCTTTGTTTCCTGGTGCTTGGCTCACTGGGGTCTCAGGCAGCACTGAAGGTGAGGGAGGGAGGGGATCCACAAAGCGCGGTACTCTGTTGTACCCAAGAGCTGATTTCGTGAAAACCATGACATGTGAAGAGTTTGGGTGAGGGGTTTGGGCAGAGAGGACAGGGCAGGGAAGAGGCTGGAAGGAACACAAGTCCCTCAGCTCAGCCCAGCGGGGAGGGCAATGTGTCTGGCGCAGTGGTTCTCAAACTCCCAACCTGCATCAGGATCTCCGGGAGGGCTGGTTAAAAACAGGTTGCTGGGCTCCATCCCAGGCTTTCTGAGTCAGTGGGGCCTGAAAGGCCCATTTCTAATAAGTTCCCGGATGCTGATGCTGCTGCTGTTTTGGGGACCAAACCTTGAGAAGCATGGGGCTGAGGAATAGTGAGTGGGAGGCGCGGCTGGGTCATGGAATGAGGCTGACAAATCGGGAGTTTGTTTCCCGAATCAGCAGCAGTGAGGAGCTACTATAGAGGCTTGTGCAGTTGGAAGGATTAAGAAGGAATTGCTACTTTGCCAAAAAGGCCCAGAAAAGGAGGAAGACAGGAGGCTGGGTGGTCGTGGCCATGAAAACCAGGCAGGGGGTGAAATGGACCAAAGACATCCCCAGGGCATGACAGATGGTGGAAGCCATTCTGATCACTGAACTTGGGGACCCCCTTTGCTTCAGAGGCAGCAGCTGGGAGTAACTTGAGAGAGCAGCTGCAGAGAGCAAGTGCCCCCTCACCTTCCCTGGGAGGCTGAAGCCTGAGGGCCTTCTGCCCAATGTTTACTTTAAGTAGTTTCTCTACCTTAAAAATCATTGCGCATTTGCAACAACATGGAGGGAACTTGAGGGCATTATGCTAAATGAAATAAGTCAGACAGAGAAAAGACAAATACTGTGTGATCTAAAAAAGAAAAGAAAAGGAAAAACCAAAACGAAACCCAAACTCTTAGAAAAAGAGATCAGATTTGTGGCTGTCAGAGGTGGGTAAGGTATAAACTTCCATTTATAAGATAGATCAATCAGTCCAGGAGCTGGGGAGGCATAGCACGGTGACCCTAGTTATGACTGCTGTGGGTATATTTGAAAGTCTCTAAGAGAACAGATCTTAAAAGTTCTCATCACAAGGAAAAAAACATTTCTCTCTCTTTTTCTTGTTTCTCAGTTAAAAAAAATCCACAGTGGATTCTTATTACCCTGTAATAAAACCCAGAAGTTATGGGGATAATATGTAAGATATATTTCTTATTTTTTAAGTTAAATTTTTTAGGTTGAAATTATAATAGATTCACAGGCAGTTGTAAATACACACACACACACGCGCGCGCACACACACACACACACACACACACACAATCTGTGTCCCCTTTGCCCAGTATCCCTCAATTGGTAACATTGTACAAATTATTCTCAGATATTACAATCACAAAATTGACATTGACACCATCTACTGACTTTTCTGTGTGTACTTAGTTCTTTTTTAAAAAAAAATATTTTTATTTTATTTTTGAGAGAGAGGGAGGGAGGGGCAGAGAGAGAGGGAGACACAGAATCCGAAGCAGGCTCCAGGCTCCTTGCCTGACACGGCACTCGAATTCATGGACTATGAGATCACGACCTGAGCCGAAATTGGATCCTTAACCAACTGAACCACGCAGGCACCCATACCATTTTTTTAAAAGTAGGCTTTGCACCCAACGTGGAGCCTGAAGTCATGACCCTGAGGTTCAGAGGTGCATGCGCTACCAACTGAGCCAGTCATGCACCTCTTCTATGCATCTTAAAAAAATCATAATGGGGTTCCATACAGGCCTCCTACTTGAGATGACTCTCGGGTGTCAGTGGGAATGGAGTAGGTTAGGAGTGACAGGAGAAAGATTTCAAAAGACATCCTCTCCAACCTGTGGCTTTGGGCTGCAGGGGACTTTCCAGAGGGGGACTTGATGCAGACACTGGGGGTTGCTGTCTTGATTCCTGAGGTAGAATCCTTACCCTCAAGGGGGATTTGTAAACAGTGTGTAATGAAATCCTAGGGCCAAGCACAGAGTTCATCTTCTGGGGTCAGGGAGGCAAGCAGCATGTTGGAAAAGTCCCCTTCCCCTACTTAAACCCACTCTGGACTTTTTCCTGCTAAGGGTAGGCCTCGAAGGCAGAAAAACTCAGGCCACCTGTGCCTCTATGCAGTCACTATCACCTCCTCCAGGAAGACCCCCTCACCCCCCACTACTCTGGCCCTGTCTGGCACTGGGCTCATCAGCTTGTGGGGACTGGTTGTTTTCCATCCCCTAGGACCAGGTGGCTCTGCCCCCAGCAGGAAACGGAAGTGTGGATAGAGCCATAGTTGCAGCCAGAGGATCAGATGTCTCCTCCCGGCTCTTCCTCTTCACCGAGTGTCCTTAGGGAAGTGCCAACGTCTCCCGGCTTCCATTTCCTTGCCTTTAAGATGCAGATACTGTGAGGATCAAGGTAGACAAATCATTTACAAGTGTGAAGTGTTACCCAATCCTTACTGACTGAAAGCAGCCGCCTTAACACAGGATACAAGGTGGACACAGGGGCTGTTTCTGTGAAGGTCAGGGCAACATCGCTTGGGTTCATGTCAGAGGCCTGGCCTTTCTGGCTGTCCTTTCCCGGGTTTCAGGGGCCAAGGGGAACCTGCAGGACTGTGTTAGGCCTCTCTGTTCAAACATCTTATTGGGACCCCGTCCGCACCCTCACTGGGCCATTGTTCTTTTTTTTTTTTTAATGTTTAATTTATTTTTGAGAAAGCGGGAGTGGGAGAGGGGCAGAGAGAGAGGGGTACAGAGGATCCGAAGTAGGCTCTGCATGACAGCAGAGAGTCCGACTTGGGGCTCAAACTCAAGAACCCTGAGATCGTAACTTGAGCTGAAGTCGGACACTCAACTGACTGAGCCACCTAGGTGCCCCTGGGTCATTGTTCTTATAACAACTTGTCACGTGTCAGTTTTCTGGCAGGCAATTGACCTACACCAGACTATGGGTTAATCATACTTTAACTGAGATTGGTTAATTCCCACCCCCAAATCATGCTGCTAACATCAGAGAGAATGGGTGGCTACTTTTTGTGTTTTTGGGGCTGGTGGCATGAGGGGCGTTGGGAAGAGAGGAATAATCTGAGGAGGCCAGGCGTGGAGAGGGGTGAGTCGGCATGGCTGCTTCAGGAGCCTGAGGCCCCAGGGTCTGTACAGCGCACTTGGACACAGCAGCTCCAGTTTACACGCGCATGCCTGCGTCCTCACATACGCCTCTGCCCCATTGTTCTCCAATGACATCCTGTTTCCCTGTTTCGAAATCCCAAATGTCCATTCCTTTCAAGTGCCTGCGGACCTTGTTCACATCCTGGGTAAAGTTGTTTATGTCCAAGCAAGAAGCACCACCTGGTACGAAGGGGAGGGCCCTTTCCTTGATCCTAGCTCTTGGTTGGGCAGGTCCAGGCAGGCCAAAGCTACTAGGGCCCCCCCAGGGCACCAGCCCAAGGACCGGGGGGGGGGGGGGGGGGGGGAGAGAGCGCTGGAGTCCTGGCTCTTCCTAAGCCACGCTGCAGGGTCTGGTTCCCAAGCCAGTCCAGAGAGAGCCATTGAACAACAGGACGCTGTGCTGAGTCACTTACTGGGGGGTGGGGTTGGGGGCGTGGTTCCACATCAGTAAATGGCACTGAGACATTGGGGTGGACACCCAGCCTACCTTCCCCCAGCAGTTATAGGAAGTGCTAACCTGTGCATCTGTGGAGTGTGGGATCCCCTTTTGAGCTCATCTTCCTAATGACTGCACATCATCAGAGTCTCTCCTAAGCTCTGCAGGGAGGGAAGGAAGCAAATAAAATAAGAAGCAAATAAAATCTAGAGTTTTCTCCTGCATCAGTGGTTAAATGAATCCAGAGCACTCAGATGCCCTGTTAGGCAGCTTTGTGTTGCCAAAGGAAATTTAGCCTTGAAGTTAGAAAGCCTGTGTAAGGGCTCTGCCTCTTGATAACAGTATAAAGCAATGAGTCTCACTCAGGGTGATTTTCCCCCAGAGGACACGTGGCAGTGTCTGGAGACGTTTTGGATTGTAACAACTTGTAGGTAGATGCTACTGGCATCTAGTGACTAGAGGTCAGGGATCCTGCTGATCACCCTACCGCGCATCAGAAGGCCCCCACTACAAAGAAGTGTCTGGTCCCGAATGTCAATATTGCTGGGGCAGACAGACTTGGAAGCTTAGGCTTCAGTTTCTCTAGCTCTAAAATGGAGTCAGTCTAGTTCAGTGTTTCTCAAACTGAGTCATAACGTGTGGATTTAAAAATAATTTAGTGAATGTAACCAGTATTTAAAGAGATTACATGGAATAGGATAGAAAAACCTCAGAAAGTAGTCAGAGGGCCCGGCTCACGGGAAGGGTAGGTGGTGTGAAATGTGTGAGTGTGTGCGTACTGGGTCATGCAGTAAACTGTTTTTACTCTGCTTTCGGGGCAAAAGTGTTTTAAAGCCATCTGTTTCAACCATCTCCAACAGCCTTCCTGCTGTCATAATGTGGTGTTTTTTTTTCTGTATTGAAGTCTTCTCCAGGACACACTTTCCAGAATCTCCTTGCTCTCTGCTTTGGGTGTGGAGAGATTGCTCTTAGGGCTTCCCTCTGCCATCCAGGCTCAGGAATTTTTCAGGCTCCTCAATTCATTCCTCACTAAGGACCCCAGTCCCAGCTCCCAAGGGCCCCTGGACAAGTGAAGGTCCTGGGCAGCCAGCCCCACCTTCCCTGAAAAGGAAGCTGCCTCACACAGTGCTCTGCTCAGTCAGTGCTCCCTGGCTTCCTAATGGTGATCCCAGCCCCTCAAATACTTAAACCAGCACCTGGCCTGAGTCCTGACTCTTACCACTCACTGGCTCTGTGATGACAGGCAAGTTACCCTGAGTGTAGCCATCTGGGTGGACCCAAGTCCCTTGCTCTGTGGGAGCAGGCTGCTTTCAGCAGCTTTCAATAACCCCCTTACTTGCAAAGGGTGGGGGTTCTCACGCACCCGTGCCCAGTGGGAGCCTTTCAACCTTGTGGGGATAATGAGCTCTGGCTTTCCTATGCACCTGGCCTCCAGGAGAGCCACAGTTTGGGTGATTCTACATCCCTTGAAAACTCTCAGGAGCTGCAGACCTGCATCCGCAGGGCAGTGGCTCACCCCAAGCCACCTGGTTGCATGCAAAGCGTTCCCCACCCATCCTCCAGCCACATGCTGCCTGCTCCCTGGCCCACTTGTTCTCCAGAGGCCTTTTGAATTTCCATGAGAGGGCGGGAGACTGCAAAGGAGAGGTGCAAAGGGACTCCTGTCATTTCCAGGAGGGAGAGGCCTTTGGCTCAGAGGCAACATACAGGTTGAGTTACCCAGTGAAGCTGGGGCAGGACTGCGTGCCTGTCCATCTGCTCTGTGACACTGGGCATGTATGGCAGGGAAAAGTGTACTGATGAGGAGACACTTTCTGTGGTCATAAGGGACCCAGAGCCCCTGACTTCTTGGGCTTTTTGCCCGCCATCTCCAGCAGGAAGGTGGCGAGTGGAGGCTTGCCCTGTCCAGTGGGTTCCGCCCCAAAAACAGGCCCTGGAAGGGAGCTGGTCTTTGGTCCGCTGTGCATGCCCAAGGGCATGGAAGGCTCCGGGAGGGACTGACTGACAACTGGGGGTCATTGCCCGGCTATCCCATTTGCTTGTTTTCTCAGTGTTTTACCATGGAAATTTCCAAACATTTAGAAACACTGAAAGAATAAGACAGTGACCACCCGTATGCCCACCACTCAGATTCTACCATTAACGTTTGACTCTATTTGTCTGATCACTTATCTGTGTCGTTGTGTTTGTTTTTCTTGGGCTAATTTCTTGCTGCCAGAAAGTTTGCTCAACTGCTTAAAGATGTGCTTGCTGCGAAACTGCTCTAAGCAGAAAATGCAGGGCAGGCAAGGCTACCGGGACAAAAACTCCTCAGGACAAAACCCCTTTAATGTGGTTGGCATCTCGTTTCCTTCCTGACAGTGTTGGTCTCGAGCTCTGCAGAATGCGGTCTGTAGTCTGTGGGTGGCCTGTGGGGCTTTCCTGCCCGCCCCCCCCCTCCCCGAGCTGCTAACAGTGTACCATTCAGGAATCTATTCTTAGAATAGGCCAGCTATTTACATGTGACTCCCTCACAGAAGTGTCACCAGAAAGAGTCTATTTTCTGGTTGGTGGCACAGGCGCACGTGCGCACATGCATGTAAGAGCTAATCGCGGTCCTCCAGCAGCTGGGTGCCGCCAAGGCCTCAGCTGAAGTCCTCCTCAACGACTTTGTCAGTAGCCCAAGGCATGGCAGCAGCACCTCATGCCAACGTCTCCTGTACTTACTTCTACAGACCTTCTTGCCTCTTCTTTTGCTGAGCAGCTGGAGCCCTCGCTCTTCTAGGGGAGGGAATATTTCCTCATTTCCAAGGTTAACCTTTGCAGCTGGCTCCTTTGCCCCATTTCTGCAGGAGCCCATAGGCACCGAGCCCCTTTTCTCCAGCATCTTCTGTCTCTGTGTTCACTGCTGCCCTTCATCTTCCCTGTTTTCACCAACTTCTTAGTCTCCAAGGCGAGAGACAAAGACTCTACGTTGTTCCTTCTGGCTCCTTTACTTCCTGTGGCTGGTCGGTTATCTTTGGAGACCGCCTGTTCTCAGGCCCTCATGGTCGGATTAGTCTCCATGGTGCTGCAGAAAATGGGTCTCCGGCTTCTTTTCCTGCTTTGAGGTCACCACCAGCACCCTGGCCTCTGTGTTCGCCCCTCACAACTGAACCCTTGTTCACAGACGGTTTTCTTATGTGTTCACCTATTCACACGTCTCAAATGGCAATATCAATCATTTATTGCATCCTGACTTCATTTCCCGTGCAGAGTGAGGCACTTTGCTGACAGGATCTCTAAATTTCTCCCAGAGACTCAAATTCAGTAAACTGATTTCATGAGCTCATAAATCTCCATTTTAAACAAAAAGCCTAGGGATTCTGGTTTGGGCTGTCCTGAGAGAACATTACACTCTTCTAGATTACTTGTTACCAATAACTCACAATGTTGCTTTTATTATCTTTTTTACAGTATAGTCGATAGCCACCTGCTTATCGTAAGCTCCCCGGAGAAGGGCTCATGCTTTCATAGTTTTCTTTTGAGAAATAGAAGAGACTAGAAGGGGGTTATGTATCCAGAAGGCACTCAATATTTTTAGGTGAATGGAAAAATGAGTGAGTAAATGATATTTTGATGAAGATTTCTGTTGCCCATTTGTTAAGTCCTTTGGGGGAGTTTCCCACTGGGATAAGGTTAGTGAGGTGTATAAGATGATTGAATTGAACATATAACCTTTTTTTTGATGATAATCACCACTACTGACCTTTTTCTCTTTCAGGGGACTTCCAAAATGGCAAGAGAGTAAGCCTCTCCGTGTATCTCGGGGAATTTTTCGACATCCATTTGTTTGTCAACGGTACTGTGCTGCAGGGGGACCAAAGGTAAGTCAGAAGCCCGGAATGTCAGAATTAGAAAGGCCAGTCTCCTGACTTGGTCTAGGTCCTCAGCGACTTGGCACCAAGGTCCCAACCCTGGAGCCTGGGGCTGGGCTTGAAAGGTGGGAGGGACATCCAGGAAATTCACGAGAAGCCTACTTCCTGAGCTCATCCTTGTCCCTCCAGCATCTCCATGCCCTATGCCTCCAACGGGCTGTATCTAGAGACCGAGGCTGGGTACTACAAGCTGTCCAGTGAGGCCCATGGCTTTGTGGCCAGAATTGATGGCAGTGGCAATTTTCAAATCCTGCTGTCAGATAGATACTTCAACAAGACCTGTGGGTTGTGTGGCAACTTTAACATCTTTGCTGAGGATGACTTCAGGACTCAAGAAGGTAAGCTTTTCTAGGTAGGATACCATTTCCCTAAAGTTGTGGTTACACATGTAATTTCCCTGCTTACAAACCTTCACTAACATTTCTCCCCCGCCATGTTATGTTTATCCTGCCAAACTTTTTCTAAAAAGTTTATTTATTTATTTATTTTGAGAGAGAGAGTGAGAGAGAGAGAGACAGCATGAGCAGGGGAGGGGCAGAGAGACAGGGAGAGAGAGAATCCCAAGCAGGCTCCAGCTGTCAGCACAGAGTCTGATGTGGGGCTTGAACTCATGAACTGTGAGATCATGACCTGAGCTGAAATCAAGAGTTGGACACTTTACTGACTGAGCCACTCAGGTGCCCCTCCTGCCAACTTTACGTCTTAGCATTCTGCTCCACTGCCTGGACCTCCTGGCAAACCACATCTTGGAGCTCCTGAAAGCTGACGTGGTTCAACTTTGAATTCCCCATAGCAGCTTACATATGGTAGATGGTTGGTAAATTCTGGATGGTTTGAACAGACCCTCCTGAACGAATGCAGTAGAACTTCATGAATGAAATCTATAAAGGGTGGCCCACTGTCCAAAAAAGCCAGTTTATGTGTGTGTTCATGAGCAATAGAAGGCAATATGGACAATGTGGAAACCACTAGTAATCTTTAATCTTCTTTAGATAATTTCAATTACATAAATGTTTAATTAGTGGTGCTCCCTTACAAAAGCTGAACATTTGTTATTCTTCTTCCTTATGAAGAATCAACTACCCTTTGATTAAGGGATAAGTTTCTAGAGAACAGTTGACCATCCCTTTCATTTCACTGTATATATTGGAAAATAGTGAGATCATTTATTTTTGTCTTTGCCAGCACCAATTTTTCAAACTTTATATTGTCCAATATGTACATTTAAGGCTATAAATTTTCCTCTAAATGCCATCTTAGTGGCACGAAATTTGATATGTAACATATTTTCATTTTCATTTAGTTCTATGGCTTTTCTGATTTCCATTGAATTCTTTCTTTACCTATAAAGTGTGTTCAAAATTTCCAGACGGTTAGACTTTCTAAAGTTATCTTTTGTAACTAAATTGATTTCTAATTTAGAAGTTTGGGGAGACTTGTTGGTGGCCACCTACATGATCTTTTTTGCAATTGTTCTATGTACGTTCCAAGAGAATGTATTCTCTGATTGGTGCAGGATTCTATATAAACTTTTTGAATTAAGTTTGTTAATTGTGTTATGCAAATATTCTATATATTTGCTACTTTTTTGTCTGCTTCAACTACCCATTACTAAGGGAACTGTGTTAAATTTTTTTTTACAATGGTGATGAATTTGTCAATTTCTTCATGTCATTCTGTCAAGTTTTGCTTTATCCGTTTTGAGCCTTTGCAGTTAGATTTTAGATGTGTTGAATCTTTCTAATGAACTCTTCCTTTTATGTAATGACTCATCATTTTTCACAATACCTTAAAATCTGTCTGGCAATAATATATAGGCACCTCACCTTTTTTAGGTCAGTATTTGTTTCATCTTTTTAAATATTCTCAAGCAGTCTGTGCAGTTTCAGACGTATTGCATGAAAGAAGCACATAGCTGGTATTTATTTTGTTGTTTTTAAAAGTCACATTTATCAAGGTGTCCTTTACATATGGCAAAAGCCACACTTCCTAGTCTGTGAGCTTCCATCAAGGTGTAGAGCCGTGTAACCTTCATGAACTATGGAGCAGTGTCCTCACCACCAGAATTCTTGTGCTCCTTTGTAGCTGAGCTATTCCCCAGCTCCTAGCCCTGGTAGCTCCTGTGCCGATAGTTCTGATTTTCCCAAAATTTATGTAATTGTAATCATACCGTACAAAGAGTACTTTGCCTTTTAGTTCTAGCTTCTTTCACTTAGTATCATTCCCCCAGGGATCCATCTGTGTGGTTGTATGCAACAGTAGATTGTTTTGTTTATAACTGGAGAGTGCTACTGAGATTTGTTTATACATTCAGTTGAAGGACATTTTGTCATATCTAGTCTTTGGCAATTATGGATAAAGCTGCTAGAAACATTCATGTATAGGGTTCCCTCCATCATCATTAAAATTTTTTTTTTATTTGAGAGAGAGAGAATGTGGTCATGCAGGGAAGAGGCAAAGGGAGAGAGAGAGGAAGAGAGAGAGAGGAAGAGAGAGGGAGAGAGAGAGAGAGAGGAGAGCACACATGCAAGAGAGAGAGAATCTCAAGCAGGCTTAGGATGGAGCCTGTCTCAGGGCTATATCCCACGACCCTGGGATCATGACCTGACCTGAAATGGATAGTTGGACGCTCAACCAACTGAGCCATCCAGGCGCCCCACTCTGCCCATTTAAAAAAAATCTGGTAAGCACACATAAAATGACATGTACTATCTTATTCATTTTTCAGTGCACACCTCAGTGGCATTAAGTACATTCACACTGTGGTGTAATCAATCACCGCTATCCATCTCCAGAACTCTTCCAGATCTGAAACCCTATACCCATTAAGCCAAACTTCCCATTCTTCCCTCCTCTTCCCCAGTCTCTGGCAACCACCATTCTACTTTCTGTCTCTATGATTCTGTCTGCTCCAACTGCCTCATGTAAGTGGAGTCACACAGTGTTTCTCTTTTTGTGACTAGCTTATCTCACAGCATAATGTCTTTACAATTCATCCATACATTGTAGCACATGTCACAATTTCCTTTTCTTTTTGATATTTAAATCAATTATTTTAGCATGGCATTGTTTTAAATTTGCACCTTGTTTTGTAACACATTTCAGTATCTAGAGAACAGGTTTGAGAACAAGAGCATAAAAGGATTATTTTTCAACAATTTAATAAAAGTGCTTAAAGCCTGTTTGTTTCAGAAACACGGATGTGTCCTTCACAAAGAGTCGTGAAGTTAAGTGGTAATACACTCACAAATTTGCCTGGAAAGTAAAATATTTACATACTCACACTGTACATTTAAATGGGATATTCTGAAGCAGTACTGCTATTATTAATAATAAACTCTTAGGAATAAGGTCTCTTTTTTATCACGGTATAATTAATACACAGTGTTATATTAGCTTCAGGTGTACAGCATAATCATTCAACTATTCCCCACATTACTCAGTTCTCACCATGATAATTGTAGTCACCATCTGCCACCAAACCATGTTTTACAATCTTATTAGCTGTACTTCCCATGCTGTACTTTTCATCTTTTGTCACAGACTTTGAGTCTAGAGTTCTGTCTTGTCCAGCAAGAGAGTGGATGCAGAATTAACCGCAAGAGAGGCTAATGTCCAGGAGGAGACAAGAGCCCTGAGTAAGGGTCCTTGCTCTGTATTTATTAGGATCAGGAGGTTACAAAGTGACGGACATGCAGAAAGAGACAATGAAACCCTGAACATTAACTCGTGTGTGAGAGAATGGGGGTTTTGAAGATATGCGGTGTTAGGGGTTTGGGTTAATACAAAACAAAATCGCAGTGTGGAGCAGATGGTTGTTTACCGCAGGCACTAGGCACTGTTTATCTTAACTTGCCTAGGGGATAAGACAGAGCATACTACCCCAGGGTCCGGAAGGCACCTTTCTTTTGCTAATTAGCTCAGCTCCCAGAAATTTCGCCCAGCTGCAGTGGTCTATAACCCTGTTCACCTGTTTACCTATTCTGGACCTTCTGTCCTGTGAAAGCAGCTTTCTGCTTTTGTACTATGTTGGAGTGCTTTGGCCCTGTTTACCTAATCTTGGATACTTTTATCCTAAGCCTTGTTAACCCATGGGTGCAAGTTCAGGGAATTCCTAAACTTATTCCCCACAGTCTCTGTGACTTATTTGTTTTGTAGCTGAACGTTCATACCTCTTAATCCCATTTATCTCACAATTCCTTCATTTTTAAGGCAGAATGTTCATTGTATGTATATACCATATTTTGCTTCTCCATTTATGCAATGATAGACATGATTGTTTTCATGTATAGCTAGAGTAGATAATGGTGCAATGAACATGGGCATACAAATACTTTTTCAAGACCCTGATTTCAATTCTTTTGGGTATATACCCAGAAGTGGAATTGCTGGATCATGTGGCAATACTATCCTTAATTTTTTTAATTAAAAATTTTAAGTTTATTTCTTTATTTTGAGAGACTGCACGTGAATGAATGGGGAAGGGGCAGAGAGAGAGGAAGAGAAAGAATCATAAGCAGGTTCTCTGCTATCAGTGCAGAGCTCAATGTGGGGCTTGAACTCAAAAACCTTGAGATCATGACCTGAGCTGAAATCAAGAGTCAGATGTTTAACCGAGACACCCAGATGCCCCTATTCTTAATTCTTTGAGGAGCTGCCAGTTTTCTACAGCAGTACAGCCATTTTCCACTCCACCCACAGTGCACAAGGATTCCAATTTCTTACAGCCTCATCAATACTTGTTATTTTCTGTTTTGTTTTGTTTTGTTTGATAGTTGCCATCCTAATAAGTGTGAGGTGGTATTCATTCATGTGTGGGTTTTTGTGTAGAAATACACTTTAGTTTTTCTGGGTAAATATTTAGGGGTGGAATTAGTGGTTGGTATGATGAACATATGTTTAATATTATAATAAACTGCCAAACTGTTCCTTAAGTTGGCCATGCTATCTGCATTTCTCCCAGCAATGTGTGAGTTCCAGTTGCTCTGAATCACTGCTAGCATTTGGAATTGCCACATTATTATTATTATTCTCTTAGTAATTTTAATAGATGTGTAATGGTATCTCACTGTATCTCATTATTATTTTATCTATCTATCTTCTATCTATCTATCTATCTATCTATCTATCTATCTATCTATCTATCATCTATCAAGAGAAAGCATGAGTTGGGGAGAGGGACAGAAGGAGAGAGAGAGAATCCCAAGCAGGCTCCATGCTGTCAGCACAGAGCCCAGCATGGGGCTCTATTCCATGACCCTGGTATCATGACCTGAGCCAAAATCAAGTCAGCCGCTCAACTGACTGAACCACCCAGGCGCTTTTCCTTTTTGATATTTTAATGTAAACTAATCTTTTCTGTCTTCTCACTGTAAAGTTTTGCTTCTTTTCATTCATTTTATATTCAGTTGTTGATATATTTGGATTTCTATTAACCATCTTATTTTGTGCTTTCTACCATTACTGCTTTTTTTTTTAACCATTTATTCAGTTTTGAGAGACAGAGACAGAGTGCAAGTGGGGGAGGGGCAGAGAGAGGGAGACATAGAATCCGAAGCAGTCTCCAGGCTCTGAGCTGTCAACACAGAGCCTGACACGGGACTTGAACCCATGAGCTGTGAGATCACGACCTGAGCCTAAGTCAGCCGCTTAACCGACTGAGCCACCCAGGGGCCCCCATTACTATTTTTTAAAATGCTACTTCTTTCCCTACTACCTCACTGACCTCCCTACTTTGTTGGAATATCCCTAAATTTGGCATTACTATGATAGATTTACACAATCAGTGCTTCTTTAGCTATGTCTTTATGGTTAACAGGTTCTTTGCTCATAATTTCTCCTTGCATCTTATTCAAGGCTCAATTTTTATTTTTCTAAAAAATATCCCTTAGCACTTCCTTCATTAAGGGGCTGGTAGTGGCAATAGTGATAACTGAAACAAACAGCCGTGCATTCTTATATGATACTTTAGCTCGGTATAGAATTCGAGAGCATCAGTTATTTCTCACAGTGCTTTGAAGATGCCATTCTATTGATGTTGTTGAGAAGAAGGTTGCCAGTCCAACTGTTATTGCATCACATATAGTATCTTCTATCTTTGTATGTAGATTATCTCTTTGTCCCTGGTATTCTGAAATTTTACTATGCTGTGTCTAGATGTGGGTGTTACATTTATTATCTTGCTTGAGACTGATGCCTGAATCTCAGGACTTGTATCTTCCATCAGATTTAGAAAAATTCCAGTCATTGTCTCTCCTGTTAGATGTATATTGCATATTTGTATTCCATCCTTTTATTTTTCTCATTACCTTACTTTTATTTTGCTATCTCTCTATTCCTCTTTGTTGGTTTTTGGGTGGTGCACTCATGCTGGCTGCTAAGAACGGATTGTGAGCGTCTTTTCCAAGTCTGCATTCAGTACTGTCATGTTAGTAGCTTGAAGTTGGCCATGGTTGGAATATTTGCACCATGGAAATCAGCAAATCCTAAAAACCAGGGCTTTGCTTTTCTCCAGATGGCTGGCTCATCAGCACATTCCTACTTAGATCTGTCTTCTAGTTTCCTAATTCCCTCAACTCTGTCTAATATCCAGATGATGTCTGACCCATCAGTTGAGTTTTATTTGTTTCCTTGACTGTGTTTGTAATTTTAGAAGGTAAATCTGGTTCTTTTTCAACTCTATTGTTTTTTCTTATTGTCTTGCCCTTTTATCAGGTTTCATTTTTTCTTTGTAACAAGAATTTTAAGTATATTTGTTTTTTATAACCTCTATACAAGAATGGTATTATCTGAAGTTTTTGGAGTTCTCATGATATGTTAGAAAATGGATAAGCCTGTGTGACATGGTTACTCAGAATGCAGAGAGCACTTATCATAATGCCTGGCACATAGTAGAAGCTGCATAAATGTAAGGTTCCTTTCTTTTGGCCTCTCTCATGGCTTAAAACAACAGAAGTTTAATCTCTCACAATTTCTGGAGGCTAAATGTCTGAAGTCAAGGTGTTGGTAGGGCTCTACTCACTCCGGAGACCCTAGAAGGGAATCTGTTCCTTGCTTCTTCCAGCTACGGTGAGCAGTCCTTAATGTGGCTATATCATCCCGATCTCCACCTGTTACCACATCATCTTCTCTGCGTGTATCTTGGTGTCACCTCCTACTGCTTCCCTCTTATAGGGATACATGTGATTGCATATAAGCCTGACCTAAGTAATCTGAGATAAGCTCTTCCTCTCAAGATCCTTAACTTAATCATATCTTTTGCCGTTTAAGATAATTCATAGGTTCCAAGAATTAGGAAATGAATCTTTGAAGGGGGTCATTTTCCCTGCTTACCACACCCCAGATGCCAACTGACAATACTTCCAAGGTCCTGCTTTTCTTTCCCCAAGGATTTTCTATTTTCTTTTCTTGAGTATATGATTTGACCTTGAAACATGCTTCACTCTTCTGGACCTGGCTATCCAAAAGGACCACTTGCGTCCATGCTTCATTAGTATCTTTGCAGCAAAGATTCAGCAGTGACATTAGGTATCTCCTTTGCCATGGAAGCCCACAAGCCCTCCCTCTGTTGTGGGAGCTGATGGTGGCATGATTGGTATGAGACCAAGGGACAGATGCTGTGAGAGCACTGGGGATACAGTGACTGGGGGCTCAGGTTCCATGTCACATTCTTACCTTCATTCTGCAAAAATGTTTCAAGTGTCTATAATGCACTGGCTAGGAATTCAGAGATAAGAGATATAGCCTGTACCCTGAATCAGGGAGCTCACAGTTGAATGGAGTATGAATATAAACAAAGGAAATACCAACACAAAGGAGGATGAGAGTTTTGATGGAAAGGTGGCCTTGGTGCTGAGGGAACATAGGCTGGGGTGGAAGGCAGGAAGTAGAACTAGTTCAGAAGGGCTTCCTGGAGGAAGTGGCTCTGGAGCTGCCTCTCAAACAATGAATGGAGAGAGTCAAGGTAATAAGGGGGTGGAGAATGTTCTGCGTAGAGGGGAAAGGCACACAGGGCATGGAGACAGAGTCATTGGGCATGTTCCTCATTGTCTTCCATGTCACCTTGCTCATTGTGCCCATCTGCCCAGCCCCCCCACCCCCAAACACAGGCTGAGCTCTGATACTCTGGTGTTGTGCTCACCGCTGCACAAAAGTTACTCCCCACCCCAGATGCCTATGTACCAATCTAATGGAAGGTTGATTTGGGTGACAATAGACCTAGAGTTTTCCCATAGAAGTCCTGGGTCAGGCTTAACTGTGACTTTGTTCTCCTTGAAACTCTCTCCACAGGGACCTTGACCTCGGACCCCTACGACTTTGCCAACTCCTGGGCCCTGAGCAGTGGGGAACAACAGTGCAAACGGGTATCCCCTCCCAGCAGCCCATGCAACGTCTCATCTGAGGAAACACAGAAGGTGGGTACAGCCCAGGCTGGATGTGGTCTGAGTGCAGTGGGACTTCTGGAATTAAGAGGCAGAAAGGCATCTGGTCTCTGGTCCTCCACTGGGGCGCAGAGTGGGTCTACCTCTGTGGGTCCCCCTGACTCTTCAAAGAAGGGTTCCCATGGGCCCCTTTTCTCCTGGAAACCAACTATGGCTGGAGTCAGATTGGCTTTAGTCTACAACTGCTCTGGGCCTGGAACTTGAAAAATGTCTGTCCAGTGAGTTGGTATAGTGAGCAAATAGACTTTTCTGTTGTTGTTGTTTTTAAATTTGTTAAATGTTTATTTATTTTTGAGAGGAGGGGAGGGGCAGAGAGCTGCCGCCACGTAGTTACAAGTGGGGCCTCAGCTGGTCCTTCAAGGAGCTCTGAAAGCTAGGGTGGCCCTGCTAGACAGGCCTGTAGTGACCTGCTGGTCACTGGATGTAGGATTCCTTTGGGCAGGGAGGCTTGGACTGCCAGCAATGGCTGCAGAATGACTCAGCTGTGAGCCCTGAGCAGCCAACACACTAAGCCGGGACTGGATGAGCCCTTGGCTTTGAAGGGCATCTATGCTGCACACTATATCCTTGTGGAGGCAGCCACTTAACAGCGCCATCTCCCAGCCTCCACCCAGGGGACAACCACCCTGTTCCACCCTACAGGAAGAGGGCGGCGGTCCCTGCTTTGGACCAGGACCACAGCTATGACAGGACTTGACAAGCCACATTGGGCCTGTACGGTTCTGCAGGGTGATGAGGAAATCGCAGCCATGGGAGGTTAAGTAGCTGCCAGAGTCACTGCTAACAAACTTCAGAGTCCAAATTCACTCTCTCCGGCTTCACCCCCTCCCTCCCTCCTCCCTTGTTCTGGCTGCATTGCTTTAGGCTGCTTTTTATTTCTGCCTGTGGCCCTTGAGTTTCCCCTCAGGAGTTGGCTTCCAGTATTCTTAAGGTTCCTTTCAGCTCTAAGACTTTGTGTGTTTCTGTGGATTGGGCTAGAGAGTCTGTTTATAATAAATCGCAATAAACATTCAGTGGGTGGATAAATGAGGAGTAGGCAGTGGTATGTGTCTGCAGATTGGGACTGCCTCCACGGTATTAACCCCCAGTCAGTCAGCGCTTGCAGAAGTCTGCTCTTCCTGAGTCTGCACGGAAGTAGAGAAACTCCACCTCTCTCCCACTCCAGAAGCAAAACACACACACACACACACACACACACACACACACACACTGAGAGAGCTTCATTACTAGCTGGTTACTCACACAGGAGTCTCTTCTGTTTTTGTGGAACAATCTGATCTCCTGAACCAAAGACTATGTCAGGCACAGGAAAATATTCTAGCTTGATGTTTAGTCCAGCTGCCTCGATTGTAAATACAATTTCCAATTTATAAACAAACACATTCCAAATGCCTCTTTTTTCTTGAGTTTCCAGTGTTTCAACCATACTAGGTTTCTGGCTAGTCCATAAACATCTGTGGCACCTGGAATGTAGCCCAGTACCGGCCACTGACTGAGGCAGACCAAGTTGTGACACCGGGAGGAGGGTGTTGTTGTGTGGAAGAGGGTAGCTTCCTCTATCCAGGAAAACTTTGAAATATCTGGTGCTTACCCTTGGTAGCTCCTCGGGTATTTTTTCTCAGCCATGGGCCTCAGCACTATGCTAAGGATATGGGTTTGGGGTCAGGCCACTTCCTGAGTCTGTGACTCTGGGTGAGACATTGGACTTCTCCAAGCATCAGTTTCTGCATATAAGAAAACAGGCATAGGAAGAGTGGCCGCTGCACAGGACCACCATTCAGGATGAGAGAGAGAGAATATGTGTAGAGTGTTTAGCCCAGTGGGGCTCAATCTTATGAGCTGTTCTTGTTATATTCTCATTATTTATGGGCTCCTGATGCTCTCCCACTGTCTGCTCACTGCTGCAGCATGGTACCATGGGAGTGGGAAGAAGCCAGACACACCCAGGGCTTTAAGCATAAACTCTGAAATTCATTTCTTTCCTCCCACCCTTCTCCCAGTTATAACCCTGTTCCTTTTGGGGAGTTCAGTCCAGTGTGAAGTTAGGAGAGAAGGTGTCTGTGGGCGCCTGGGTGTCTCGATTGAGCGCCCAGCTTCGGCTCAGGTCGTGATCTCGAGGTTTGTGAGTTCAAGCCCTGCATTGGGCTCTCTGTTGTCTGCATGGATCCCACTTCAGATCCTCTGTCCCCCTCTCTCTTGACCTCTATCCTGTTCACACTCTCTCTCTAAAAAATAAAAATTAAAAAAAAAAAAGGAGAGAAGATGTCTGAACACAGCCACATCGAGGGGTGGGGAAGTGACGGAAGCCAAATTTTCTTCTAGAGCTACTTGGTAACCCAAGTGAATTTCAGATTGTGTGCCCTCAAGGAATCATGTGCAGTGAGGGGCAGAAAGAGAATTTTTATCATTTCTGTCTTTTGCGCCCTAACTTGCCATTTTGTGGCTGGCAGGGTGGTTCACCTTCTCTGCCCACCCTTCAGCCCTCCAGTGTTCTCTAGGCAGGGGTGGGATTAAGGCAGGGAGTCCCTCAGTGGTGAGGTGGTGGTGGGACCACATAAGTCCTTCTAATATTGAATGGTTCTTTGAGGGCATGGGCTTTGTGTTACTTTATTTTGCAAACATGGGCCAGGGCAGAGTAAGTGCTGGATGAACATTCCCACTCCCATTTATCCATAAGAAGTAGGAGGTGAAGACAGGGTTTTCACATGGAGAACCTGATACTGGGCTGAGTTGAGGAGGGAGACAAAGGGGAGGGAGGGACGAAGAATCTGCCAGGAGCCTTGTTTGTCTCCCCACCACCACCCCCCCCCCCCGGGGTGCCTTTTGGAGGCTCCAGCTGCAGGCTCACTACTCACTTTGTCTCCTGGGTGCATTAAAGTCCTTACTAACCAGTGCCCTGGGAGCAGCCTGAGAAATCAGTTACTAAGTTCTTAGTGCTGGGCTGAGGTCCCCAAACACACCAGACCTCTGGAGGCACAAACTCCTTCAACTAGCCCAGAACTAGCTTCAGCGTTGTTTACCTGAGAAGGGAGACCTGGCTTTGTCTCAGCCAATCAGCTTGTGTTCACTCAAGACTGGGGAACCGTCATTGGTTGGGAAGCACAGTGACTCATCTCCTGGGGGGTGATTAGTGCCGTCTTTGGAAGGAATTGTTCACAGCCGGCTTAGTCCCCTGGGCCCCTGGGTTCAGAAGTCAGGTCTGGTAAATGGGCATCATTTACCAAGTGCTTGCCATTATGGCTTGAAGGACTATTTGAGGTGGCAGAATGTTCTGTGGGGAAGACTGCATTGATCTAAGAACTTTTCTTGAGAGCCACCAGAATTTATTCTCCCACTTCTCTGGGGTGTACCTTCTTTCCAGGCTGGTAGCAAGGAGTCAGCTTCTTCTGAGCCAGGTCATATTACTTATACCTAGGGGATGAATGTTTCCTTGTTATGCCAACAAAACCCGGAGCCTCTCTACTGGGACTGAACAGTGACTTGTTTGATTGCATGCAAATTTACAGTTTTTTCAGCTTTAGAAATAGAAGGCAGGGTGCTAGAGTCTGGAACTCAGAGTTGCAAACCTAGTAATAAGAAGCCCCAAGCTCTAAATGCTCAGATAATTAATGGTAATTTGCAGGTAACTCTACTACACAATGAACATTTTAGAAAGATTCTTAGGTTGCCTTATTTTTTTTTTTTTTTTAATTCAGTCTGGGTACTTTCAGCAGGGGCTGAACCTTATAAAGGGATCCTGTCTTTGTCTTCAGTGCTCACTACAGCATGAAGCCCAAGGCTGCAGCTGGTCCATCCGGGTCCGTCCAATGCTCTTGCTAGTTAGAAAAAGGTGCCCCTTCCTGAAAGCACTTTACCACTGCCTATTGGGAAATCATAGGAATAATCATTAGAAATATTCATTGAATATACTTGGACATGTATGGTGTCCACAATGTGAATGATAACCCCTCAGCATATTGCCATCATGCACTGTATGACCTGCAGAAATTTACTCGATGGCCATGGCCTTGGCCTCACTTCCACTGGGAAATGCAGTTGCTGCGGCCATCGTCCTCCCCAGGATCACCTGCCCCGGGCTGAGAGGGCCATCTCTTGCTTTTGCTGCTACCATCTGAATGTGAGGATGCTTTCATGTCTCTGGCTCCAAGAGTCCTCTCTGTATTCCCCAGTTCCTCAAGATGGCCTGTCTTTCTTGAGAAGACTGAGCACACCATTTATCACTCAGCCTTCCAGTGGTGATTTTTTCAGCAGCAGCAGCAGCAGCAGCAACCTCAGGCAGGTGTCTGGAGCAAAATAAATTTTTTAAATTGATGTCAGGAATCTTAGGCTTCTCATAACTCAGAGTGACAGTGAGCCCATGTGCTTGTGGTGGGACGGGGGTGACCTTGACCAGATCTAGCCTTATAGCAGAGATCAGGGGCTGCCACAGGGTTTCAGAGATTTTCCTCAAATCAAGCAGAACATGACTTTTTAGTGTACTTATTTGATGAACCCTTGAGGAGGGTCAGATGAGGTTTTAGTACTCAAGTTTTCATTTTTTTTTCTTTTTTTTACAAATAGTTTATTGTCAAGTACTCAAGTTTTCAGTTCAAAGGCCTTCCTAACATAAGAATCTCAAAATCCTTTAACAAGTGCCTTTCTTTCCCTTTTCTTTCTTTCCTCTTTTCCTTCCCCCTGGTGAGGACAGGAATGAGGGAGAATGTGATGGTGCCTATTTGAACATATTTATTGAGGTATTTTGTGTGGCTTGGGTGATACCAAACTGTGAAAGTTGGATTGCAGTCCTGTTTAGGGGACAAAACACATATGACAAATTGAACAACTGTGAGAGAGAACAACACAAATGCCATCTTGGGTCAGTAGAGGACAAATTACCTAAAGAATGGTGAGTGCTATTGGTTCAGGGAGTCAGCTCTTTTCACAAAGCTGATGATCTTTCCTTCTGGGAGCAGGATGAGTAGAATGGTTCCACC